TCTTCACCGAATCGTCCTCGCTCCGCTGCCGTAGTATATTCAGCAGATGGTGATTGTTCGGGTTACTGTTGATACTATGGATAATCAGAAAGGAGAACTTGCCCTCCGTCAAATCCTCGCAAAATCCCTTGTTCTTGGTGTATAGTCCACTCTGTAAGTTTTGGTAATCATCCCGAATCTGAAAGATCACCCCCAACAAGTCTGCTAGTTCGATGACATTGCTGCACGAAGTCAGTTTGCAGTGTAACCAGGGGGTCTAAAGATTTGTTATGGATATATATTTGTAATACATGCCTTTCCGTTTCGCTTTCCAACTGCATAAGCTTAATAGCCAGTCGGAAAAGGCCACCAGTCTTATTGGCGATCATCTCGATATAGTCCTCCTCTGTGGGACAGGTCAGGCAGTCCCGCCAGTATAAATCCATACCTTGACCGCGGTGTAGACGGAGCAGTTCCTCGGTGTATATTTCGTACGCTTCGGGATGATTCAGTTCGCGGAGCCTTTCCTGAGCCAGAAAGTACGCATAGTTGGCCGAGTTGATTGTTTGCGCAATACCGAAAATGCTGTGCGCCACTGGGAGGCCACGTCGAAGCTTAGAATTGTCCTGAATATCGTCGATTCTATTGAAGGTCAGCAGTCCCTCAGGATATTGTTATCTTGGTTTAGATGGAAGCTGAATAGAACATACAGAAGGGAGGCTGTGTGAAGCAATCCAACAATTTCCGTGATAATGTTCAGTTTGTCCTCAGGAATGCGTAGCCATTCATTGAACGCGTGGATAAACTTCCGACGAATGTCTTTTCCTGGGGATTTTAGAAGATAGTCAAGTGGCCCTCGGACAATCTGTTTTCGTGCATTAGACAGTGCTTTTCTAAGAGCAGGATACATCAGACCGACCTTCTCCTTATCCAGATAGCTTGCTTCCAATTGTTGGGAACTGGCAGCTTCGGCATCTATGTTGGTGGGCGACGAGGGTGCCGATGCAGGAAATAGCCCGGAAGAAATAAATGGAAAGTAAGGAGTATTCATCTTCCAGGCATCTGGCGTAGCCGGGTTGAACATTGGGAATCCCAGCATAATCTCGTTCCTTGTGGCTCAAAGGTGCTGTATGGATGAAGTCTTGCAGGAGAAGAAGGTCACCAAGGTGCTGGACGTGAGCTTTCGAAAAACAGGCATTACTACTTCTATGTACTATCATTTAAGAACGCAACTTTTTGTGAGCCCCATGTGATAGGGTTGCATCGCCTTTTGCTACGTGTTTTGCTGTCACCCGGCACGGCTTTACTGGTCCTTTGTCATCAGCGAATAAGCAACTTCTGTAGGGTGTTGAAAGCACGTCTAGTCAGCAAAAGATCGCAAAGGGCACCTTTTCATATGACTGGTCATCTAAAGAACATTGGATACCATATCAGTCTTGCGAAGGTTAGGGGCGATTTGCTCCACGTCCGTATATCCATCCTAGGTGGTTAACAGTATGTTTGCTAAAGGGCGTTCTGGAGGTTCAAAACACGACCAGGTCGCTTGGGTGGTCGGAGAAAGGAAATTTGGTATGACAGAATTACTCCGTTCAGCTATCTTACCCGTAGAACCTGAAAATGGTCATTGTGTCTAGCTAGTTAGTGGGATAGCTAAACTCTGGTTTTGAAAGCGCTGCCAATCAATATGTAAAATGGCTATACAGCACAACCTCGCATGGTTGTACATGCCTTATGCTTGTGCACCAGTACAAAGCTTATCGGAGGTAGTAATGGAGATTCCATATAGGAAAAAGCATGAGTTGGTCTCAAATCAGAAGTAATGCAACGAATCCCGCCACTAGACAACATATGCGTCTATCTGGAAAGCCAGTTATGCCTTCACACTTTTGACATCCATTTTCTCCTTGCGACCCCATACTTCCAGCCAGTCCTTCACAGACGCACTGGATTTCTTTAAATCCCACAAACAGGCGCTACGCACGTCATCCCTCTGGATGACCCGTAAAGCATTACGGATATTATAGGGTGAGCCGTATTCCAAGGCACGCGCTACCATATGACCCTCAGGAGCATCCAATGCAACCACTATGGGAAATGAAAGTTCGCCGTTGCGCAGGTCCTCCGCAAGTGCGCCTTTTGCTTTTGCATAATCGGTCGAATACACGTTCTTGCAATCATTTTGCAGCTGTGAGCACCACCTGTGCAGAACTCAGTCAGCCAGGTCCCACTATTCGGGTATCTTTGCACATACGCCACCGTAGTCATGGTAGCATCCATGGACTGATCCTCTAGTACCAGCTGACCAAGCAAACGAAACAATGCACCTGTCTTCAGCGACGCCATTCGGCGATATGCCTCATCCCTTTCCTTTGGAGCCACTGGAAAGCTGACAAGGCCATCCCTTCGCCAAACAAGGGACATATCTTGGCCTTCCAGGATCTCCTCCAGACACTGCATCAGAAATGGTGCAAGACGAGGGAATTCGTGGACGGTCCGATTCAAAAGTTGCGTCACGCGGTAGTAGGCACGGTTCGCAGTCTCTGAAGGACCGTAAATCTTGTGCGCAGCGGGGTGACCCTTGCGAAAGTTACTCCCGTCCGATATCTGATGGGATGATTAGCTCTCAGCCCTTATTTCAATTGGGGCTACTGTACTTACATCATCAACGAGGATTAAGCAGAGGTGAATGCCATCCATGATCTCAAGGATCATCTTGTACTTCGGCAGGTCATCCAATTGGAGGTTGGGCGCCAGCTTGTCGACGAATGGGGCCCAGTGATGTTTACCGTAGATCTGACGAATGTAGCTGTAAGGGCATTCCAATGAAGTGATCTGGGATGGCTGTTTCTTGCCAACAAGCCAGGCCCGTTTTGTTGTCGGGAGTGGGTTCAATATGCGATCCCATACTAGCGCGGTTATCGGGAAGGCCAGGAAGACAAGAAAAACCAGCGAAGTTTGCGGAAGATGGTGCTGGAGGGGCTCCATAGAGATAGCCATATTTAAGGATGAGAAAGGCTCCATATAACTCAACTGACTAGATGGTATATGTTTGGGTATTGAAACTAGAATTGTATGATAACGACGGGACGTAGAGGGTAGATATATGAATGATGTTATCTCTCGAGTGTAGCTTGGCTGTTAGCTCGCTAAGGTTCAAATAAAGTCCTTGTCCCTTGACAAACAAAATGACAACTTCGCATAGAATAGGTATCTCAAAGACGCCCAATTAACTGGTTACATTGAGCTTATCATGAAAGTTGCCGCGCTTTGGCGGTTGCATTACATGTCCTAAGTCATTTAGTGCAAATACAACGATTGACTGCTGCCCCACCTTAATATTCGTCCTCAATAGCTTAGTCTATAGTGTCAAACTCCGCAGAGGGATTACTTAATCTGGGTGAGTTTCTTCGGCTGAATAACGTAGGTGTTTGATCTTGATCCAAATCGTGGAGATCGCACAAGTGAGTCATTCCATACCAAAGCCGTCCCGCTATCATTTATTCAATGAGAGACCGTTACTTGTCATCATATCACTGCTTCCATTTTGTGAAATATCGGCACACCCCTTGTAGAGTTGAGGAAACGCCTGGTGCAATTAAATGGATTGTCCGAGGAATCTTGGAGAAATCACGGAAGATTGCAAATAAATGCCTAAACATGCGCCCCAGATAATTCCATCAACTCTTTGTGGCAGTTTGCAGGTGACAACATAATTGTAAAACCGATGCTTTAATGCAGCTTTCGTCATACGGCACCGGCGAACGCCACATCATGAATGGCAGCAAACATGCTAGCCGTCCGTAACCATGGCCAGCAGTATGTCGCCGGATTCTCAATCCGACGACGCGCATGTCCCAAGGCCTTCTGGGTTAACAGTAATTTTGCCAGCTAGCACCGAGTAACAACAGCTTTCATGTAAGAGAATACGAGAGTACCCATCGCGTGTGATATGATATTGTTTTCTACATCAGACATTGTAAGCCCTATGGAAATTCCACCTTACCCTTTTTGAACGTTTTTTGGGTGTAATTCGAGTGCTACTTCTAAGTACCACGGCGTACGGCTACGAAAGGCTTGATGAAGCGAGGCAATTTGCCCCCGGGGGAACAAAACCCCGACACTCTATCTTGCTACAAGTTTGTTTATAGAGTGCGACAATTATTCCGATTAACAGAAGTACAAGGTGCCCAACCGGCTCTGCTGATGTAGTTTGTTCTGATTCTGACTTATTCACACTACAACGGTAGATTGGGCTTGTTTTATGACTAAATGTCCATACATCGAAATTTGGCACGTAAGATTGGGGATGGGATCGCGTGAGTTGAGTATCACCATGCAACCAACGTTCTGGATAAACCAATAGACGTATCACTATATCTGACATCTATCACGTTATACTATGACCTGCAGACACATCAAACCAGTATGCTCCCGAGTCTATATTGTACTCATCATACTACTTAATTGGATTAGACATTGCCGCTCCTCGAATCACGGTCATGCTAGTAGGGGGGGTTGCCGGTCTCACGCTAGCTCATTGCCTGCGACAGGTGAATATCAACCACGTCGTACTCGAGAATTGCAGCGACATATGCCCGCAGGAAGGTGAGCAATAGGGATACTTCCCAACGGTTAGAGTATTAAGTCAACTGTCTCTATTCGAACATATTGAGCCCCTTATCCAACCCCGCTATCGAACACACATCACCTGTCCAATCGGCACCCATTCTCAAGTACATTTAAGAAGCTTCTCCATGACCAGTACAGCCCCCTTCTTCTTATTTGCTTTCTTTATAGATCAAGTTATCATGGTCTAACCTGGTCGTTCATTGCAGATTCGGTTACACTATTGCGTTCTTCAACCGCCAAAATCTTTTCGAATTCATGCATACTCAGTACCCGGGTCAATCGAAGATCCTCACAGATCAACGAGTTGCCGCGATTTGTCCAGGAGGTATCCTATTTAGAATAAAGCACAATAGATTCTGGAAGAAACATACAACCTATACTTTTACCCACAACTATACGAAGGTAATCCAAAGCATCGCCATCACCGTTCCAACCACCTGCAGCAACGACCGCCGAAAACCTGCAGAAGCAGCCCCGGTATACAACGCGCTAACTGCGCTTGCGCTTCTTGTACTAGTATCCATGGCTGAACTCATGCCAGCTTGGTGACTGCTCTGGGGCCACACACGTGCTGAAGAGGCGGGAGCAGTCTGGTTCCATCCTGACCCTGACCCAAAGTGTGGGGTGTACGAATACGGGGAAGCAGACACTGTGGGCTGAGCAACATTGGAAGTCTGGGCCATTGTGATGGTAGTGCCGTATTCGGTACAGGTCCCGTCATTGGAGCATGATTCGACAGTAATCGTAGTGGTGTAGATCGCGTCTGTGTCTGCACCTGAACTGGCATTGGACACTGCGCTTGAGCCTGCGCTTGAGCCTGCGCTTGAGCCTGCGCTTGAGCCTGCGCTTGAGCCTGTACCCTGAGAGGTAGTGTCGCCAGCAGAGATGAGTTGCGATTCAGATGACACAAAATTAGTGGTGCTACCGGCTGAGTTGCTAGCTTGGTGGCTTGCGACAGAAGTTGTAGGAACAGTCACAGGATCAACACCTTCGGCCGGAACGGATGTGTGATCTGGATATACGGTGAAGACGGTCGTTGCTACAACGAAGGTCTCCGACGTGGCATAACCGCCTCTGGGTGGAGAGCCACTGCAGTTATCTCCAGTGCAGCCCGCAACTGTTGCAATGTGGGTGCTCAGTATGGTAGAAGTGGTAAGCGATGGTCCAACCTCGGATACTCCTGTGGCGGATGGCAGAGAACCGTTCGCCTTGGTGCTTGTGATCTTAGGGACTGAGTACACAGTTGTGCCGACAACCAGCGTCTCAGTGCTCGCATAAGTTGTCTTTGACCTCAGGGGACAATTCGTCACAGAAGAAGGACATGCAGTCACGGTAATGATACGAGTGCTCCAGATCGTCGAAGTGGTAATGTCAGAATCACCCATGCTACCCCCGCTGTTACCAACAGCCACGGTAGCCGGAGGATGTGCGGTCTCGGTAATCATGGCACCATTGTTACCAGTGCTGTCAGCTACGGGGCACACAGTGGTAGAGACTACCAAGATCTCGGTAGTCACATAGGTTGTTTTCGACCTAAGCGGGCAGTTCGTTACCGAGGAAGGGCACGCAGTTACCGTAGCAGTGCGAGTGCTGAAAACAGTGGAGGTTGTGAAGTCTAATCCACCACTACCATGACCCTTGTTGGCAGCACTGTCCGTTACTGTCGGCGAGACAGAATCCGTCCGAGTCATTCCTGCGGCCTCGGTGACTGGGCATATTGTGGTAGACACCACAATGGTCTCCGTGGTCACAGAGGTGGTTCTGGAGCGCGCAGGACAGCTCGGGAGTGTGGATGGGCATGCAGTAATTGTGGCCGTACGAGTAGAGAGAACTGCCGATGTGGTCCACTGCAGCATGGAAGAGTCGGTGACTGTTGCAGCCGACGAGGACGTGGAAAGACTCATCTGGGGAAGTCTGGTCCAAACAGTAGTTGGCGCAGGGACTGCGCTGGATGTGCTCTGAGAGGATATGGAAACAGGGAGTGAAGAGCCCGGGATAGCTCCGGAAGACGCCGAGCACTGGCTTCGCTGAGGCAAAGGCCGGGATACATAGCTCCAATGCGGGTGGGAAGCCGCCGAGCGACTTGGTACCGGCCTTGAGCTGGGAATTGGCGACTCCCTCACCGACGGAGCAGAGGGTGAGGGGACTAGACTCGACGAGGGCACCACGATGATTGATGGCGTGGGTGTTGCTGCCTTCGAAGAAGGAACAGAAGATGAATAACTCGGTGTGCAAGGCCTGCGGCTGGGCAAGGACCTTGAGCTATAGGACCAGTGATGCTGCCTATGTGCGATAGCAGATGAAGTAGTGGTAGAAGTCACAGCTGCTGGCTCAACAGCCACTGTCACGGCGACGCTCGCTTGCAGCAATAACGAGGCGAGGATCCATCCTCGCATCAGCAGGTGTCCCATCATGACAGCGATTGACTCAGTTCAGCAGTACTTAATGAGGAAAATTTTAACGAAAGTAGAATGAAGAAAATCAGTATTATTCAGGTATTATGAGACATAAATGAATGACTTGCAGTGGGATTCCGAGAATTGACTGTCAAAAGAGAGTGTGAGAAACCGAGCCCTGATTCTCTCTTGCAAGAGGCGGGTCACTGTATATAGATCACCTCAAAATACTATTTCGGTCGGAGAATTGACAAAGAGACTACACATAGGGAATACACACCCGACGGAGCTAATACCTGGTTCCTGTCTCAGCCTTCGTATTCAGCTGCACTATTGACGCCCACTGGATCGTGGGTCTGTCAACGGCGGCGAAAATAGCCGACCTCAATTCCCACCCAGAGTCAAGGACGGAGTACTTATTGCGAGGCACTCCGAACCTACTAGAGGTTTTGAGTGACTGCTATACACTTTAAGCTTATATTTTATCAACCCGTGGAAATGCCAATCTACGGACTCGTCGTCGCAGCGGGCTTTCTGCTCGGTCAGGCCGCAGCTATCACCCCAGCGGCCAGCTCCCCGGTGGCAAGCAGTCAGGCCTATGTGCCCTCGGTGTCGTGCCGTACGCAGCTGGGAACAAGCTCGTTAGAGCTAGTTCCTACAACTACCATTACGCGCACTATTCATGACCCGACACCTGTGGTTGTCTTTTCGACGACGCAAGACACCGTCACTGTGACCCCTGACGCCTCCACTGTGACCGTCACAGACTATGAGACAACTACGGTCGTTTCAACGGCTGACACGGTCACTGATATTTTCTCGACGACCTCGACCGAGTATGACACTGTAACAGTGACTATCACTCCCGCTGCTGTCACTGCCATTGTACCTATCACCGTCTCGACCACGAGCACCAGCACTTCCACAGTAGCTAGCTCTTCGGGCTTCTCTCCGATTGCGGAGACACTGCCTACAGCTACTGCTGCCAAGCGCTCCTTGATAGAGCAGGACGATTGTTCTTCTTGGTTGGACGACTATGAGTACCCCCAAGAGGTCGTGTGCCACCAGAAGATCATTGTCAAGACCACAACCGTCTCCACGGTCACCGAACCCCCCGCGACTGCCACCGCAGTCACTCCTATCTCCACCGTTACTGAGACCAACACCATCACCAGTATCTCGGTTGTGGTTCCTTCCGATGTTTCGACTACACTCAGCTACAGTACCACTTCTACCATCATCGAAACCACATCCGCAGCTGCTGAAACTGCCACTGTATTCTCAACTACCACCGCAGTGGCTGCAGTGGCCACTGCAACCTTTTACGAGGCGTGCGGGTCTAGCAACATCGCTGGTGACCCTCTTTCCTCAGATTTCGGCTCTTTCGCGGGCCAATACATGTACCTGATTGCCTTCACCAACGTCCCCGGTGAAAGCTTGACTGTTGGCGACACCAGTTCTGCATATGATTGCTGCGTCAGCTGCATGGAAAGCTCCACCTGCGCCATGTCCTACTACAACGCGGTTTCTTCCTCCATCAAATACTGCTATCTCATTCACACAACAACGTGCTCGCAGTCTTCTGTTTACGCCAGGGCGTCTACTCATGACACTTCGACTACCATCCAGATGTCTAACGGAAATTGTGGTCGTGTGGTGGGCGTACAGGGATAAGGTTGTAGCAAATGTAGCAGGAATTGTACCATAAACAATAACTCGTCAGATTCTACTGCTTTAAAAATCCAGTTCTCTGTTGGCATACTCTCTTGATTGTCCCCAGTAGCAATTAGTCATTATTCTTTCACCAGGTTGTGTAGACAGCTGACCCAACCCCTCTCTACGTCTCGAGTCAGTGCCTCCCCACACATTATCCACACTAGTTGAAAATCTCGACCACATAACGCCGCTTTGCCACTCGTATCGCGGAAATTAAAGCGACATTAGCGTGTAGCCATCAAGGAAACTCACGAACCCGATCGGCACATTTTACCTTGGTAGCAATCGTGATCAGGTACCCGGTGGGTCTGACTGGCCGGGGGACTTTTTAGCACCGTAAGGGATGGTCCAGACTGGAAGCTATTGCGCCACCCAACCCTTTGGCATAGGAACAGCTCGGATATCTCCGAGTGCTAAGCCTGACGCCAAGTTGATGTCGTAGTTTTGTTCTATTGGCGGGCACATATGCCAATGTTAAGTTCAGTACTCCAAAATTTGTGCTCGCAAAGTGTTGTTCGAACGATGAGAACGGATGAATCCAAAGGTAAGATAGCCGATTCTGCTATAATTCTCTCGCCGAGTAATGAAGGTCATGGATTTTCCCTGCTTCAAACCGCTAAACAGATAATAAAGTGCCTATGATAAGGGGTGTTGCTGGGTAGGTGTAAATGTCATCATCTAGGTATAACACGCCATGCGCCTGAGCCTCTCAGGCTAGTAGCGGCCTACTCATGTCAGTCAGGCATGTACGTTTCGTTGAGTCATACTGTAAGTAGTCGCCTCGTCAATAGCCATGTGACTATCAGAAGAGACCCGTTGTATCCAATTGGCCATGTCGTCTAGAATGCCATGGTAGGAGTGGTTGCTGATTGGATAGATAAGGTAGCGCGATCTAAGGCCACCCTAATCAACGACTGTTGAACGTCAATTAGCCGCTGCGTGCATAGCCCCTTCCACTGTCGCTTAGGCCGCAAAATTTGTGCAGAGTCCAGGTTCTGGCATCTAGAAGGCTATTCTGTGAGTCACACAATGATTCTTCCAGCTTACTATTTCCCATTTTGCAACTCATGTATGACGCAATACATTTAACCCAGCGTCAACCGCCTATAGCAGGCAAGTCCTTACTTGGGATTTGATTTCACTTATCTTTTTGTGTAGATTGAATGGCGAAAACATCAAAGATGGATGTTGTCTTCATTCCTATTTTATGAGTAATACGTATTCCTTGCAGAGTGCAATTGTCGTACTAATGATCGACAGTTCTTGGGGCTCTAAAGCCCTCGGTCAGCCATAATCAAGGGTCTCGCTTGCTAATCGTGGTCTGGGTGTTAAGCCACATCATGCATTAGATCAACAGCGAGCCTCTCCTGAGTCACAACTAGGCTATAGCCTGCCGGCTAAGGTGTCTATGCCGTCATCCAATATACAGATACCCAGTGTTTAGTCTGTTAACGTTTCCCGAAACGCATGATCAGGATGCTGCGTTAGTCTCCTTCCTGTGAGGCTGCACATTAGTTGCCTTCGCATCATTGGCTGATACTACTCCATCACTCCACTTGAGGGCAATCTAAAATGCAAGAAAGGGCATATTTGCTTTTGTATGTCTTCTCCATCACATGCTTGTCTACCGGGATGTCGCTGCCTTTGGCAGCCAATATTGTTGCCTTGTAGCATATATACCTCACTTCAATATATCAGCTACATTTACAATATAAAAGCCACCTCGTCTCGAGCAATTGTCTTCTTCATTCAGCATCGCTTGATCACAACGGTTCCATACAACTTCGACAATCTCACTGTTCATCTCCTACAAAGAGGAATTTAGTTCCAAATATCAACCATCAGATTACATATAAGCTGCTTCATCTCGCGCAACTATTTTCTCTATCCAGCATTGCTTGGTCCAGCGCTCTCATATCTTCTACGATCCCACTCTCCAGCTAGGGTTTAGTGCAAAGGGCAATTTGACTTTGAAGTCGTCATTCAAACGACCTTATCTAATCACCATGTCTCCCACCAATCGAGTACCGTCCATGCGCATGAACCCTTCTGACGCGCGCGACATTCCCACATACATAAACGAACTTGCTAAAGATGTGGCGAAAAACCAACCTAAGGGCGACTCGGAGAGTACCTTTTCCGACGCTTCGACACTTCAAGGCAACGAGCAATCTTCGAAACTGAAACGCGGGCTTTTCAGTAAGATCCGTTCTTTTTCGCCATCCGGAAAACAAGATGCCGTCAAAGAGTAGCTTAATGGGGTAATTATTCTTATTGGATACTGGAATTTGAGGTAAGCCCTATGAGAGGGCAGTTGCGGTTCCTCCGTGTCCTCTGCATGACTTGTGGTCTATTGTCATATTGTTCAGCCTAATGTAAATAATATTGTGTACGGTGTCTGGCATTCTTGTGTCTGTGCTTGTTGACTTCCTTGGGCAATGGGCGCATCATTTGGATGGGTGGTGACTCAGTGGTTATTCGGAAAAGCACATTTTCATCATGCTATTCTAGTAAAATCCCAACTTTGAAAACCCAACTCTCAATACCACTCTCGTCCCCGTATATTCCCTATTCTCATTCTTGTCAATTGACCTCTTTATCAATGGCATCACTGTGCTCGAATGCTAAAAGCTTCCGAGCCTAGCTTTTCTCTTGTTAAGAAGAAGTTAACTGCCACTCACCGCGATCAGAACAGGGCGTGAATATCCTTAAGAGCAACCTCAATGAGTCGCTCAGGTAGCTCTGCATGAGTAGCTGATTAGATGAACTAGGAGGGGCAGGGATGACGCATGATGTGGCTCCATCCGAGAAGGGTCCAGTATACGCTGTATGGAGGCAGCTTATGCTATTGGTGTGATTTATGCAAGGGTGGGCTTGCGGGGTCATAATCTTTGGTGCTCTGTTTTCATTGACCACGGAAGTCGTGGTGCACTGACCCCTTGGTTCTTGGACTCGCAAGGCTGCGTTGTAGGCGGCATAAACATGGGTGTAGAGGAAACCGGATAATACTTAATCAGGGTTGACAAGCACTCCTGCTCATATACCAACAACGATTTCAGCTCTGTTGACACAATTCGACTATCTAGCGAGGATTGAAGGAAATCTGGAATTTTTGCTATACTGTGAAAGCCTATCTGATGCAATTTGGGAGACTGCGGTCGTCGTTAAAGAGTACTGGCTCTAGCCGCCAATAGCTGTTGCACGGGTGTTGCACTCTGTCGTTGATCTAGGGTTTGATTGGGTTACAATCCATGCTCCAAGGCAGACTATTCGGGTGGGGGTGCTGCTAGGCGCAACATCAATTCAGCCTTTGCGGGATCGATGGGGTAACCCGCGAGGCTGAGACGCTTAACTTGCGGGAGTACGGACGGTCGACCTCAGAACAATATTTTAGATAGCTCTCATACTTGTTTCAATAAGATACAATCATGGTCTGGTAACTCTATCAATAAGAGGCATTTCATGGCATGTCAAGTGGGTGAAAGACAAGATAACTAAAGCGTTCCTTGTATGGTAACTGGTCCAGTTGTACTACGGAAGGGTTATGGATACCCAACGCAAGCTGATCAAGGAATGCAAGGCTAGTCGGCGCAGCACATGCAGCACGTCACATGGTAAGCCCCCTCCCCAACCCCGGAGGAGGAGTTAAAAGGGCCATTCTCCCCTCACATTTGTTTTCTGTTGCCCACCCATCCCTTACGAACTTGACTAGCGTTACAATCCTTTTTCGGCCATCCAAGGTCAGTTCTAAAACTCACCCAAATCCATCCTCAACTCGAGCAAGTCACTCAATTCCGGCACCATGCCTTCGTTCTCTTCTCTCGCGGACAAAGTCCAAACCGCCCAACTCACGCTTGGGTACACCTTCGATAACCCGACTATTGGAATGGGGGCGCTAGTCACTCCTGGGGTTGCCCTACCCGGGCTGCCAACCCGCATGGATGGCCACAAGGAGCTTGCCCTTGTCGGAGATGCCGTTCTCAAACTGGCACTTACCCTGGCTGGATACGAAGCCGGAAGAAGCAGAGGTAAATCTCACCTTTTTTACCCAGAACAATATGCTCATCCTCATGTTAGAGGTTACCAGCAACATTCTGCAAACCAAAGCCAGCAACGTCAACCTGGCACTGGTTGGGCGTAGGATGGGCCTCGACGAACTGGTGATTGTCAACCCATCCCAGGCAGGCATGGTCTCCGACAAGGTTATGGCCAACACCGTCGAGGCTCTCATCGGAGCTGTCTATATGGATAGTAATTCGGTCGACGCTGTGCGGCCTGTCTTGGCTGCTATGGGCCTTGACGGGCCCGCTTGAGCTCCATGACTTTGCATGAACTACCTATGCAAAGTGACGTGATCTGGAAGCTAGTTACTTACTAGTGGGTCGTACAGAGGCCTTTCTGCATCAGTACCAGACCCCTGGTATAATTAGCTCCCCACCCCACCACTACGGGATGGCGAAACTTGAGCCACACTTGCTATTCTTCGCTGATCCTGTAATGGTGGAGGGGGAGCTGATCATAGAAGGGCTCCGATAACGAGTAGTTGGGCCTTTGTACGACCAACTGGCCGGGAACGGCCTCGAGGCCACGAGACATTGTCTTATGTGGTTCGACATGAGCAGACTTGGAATTCTAGTTCAAGCTTCTGTGTGAGGGATGATCTCCGAAAGATGGGGAAGGGAAGTGTTGGTTGGTAAGGGAATGGCGGAAGGTTTCGATGCGATTTGTCTTTCTGTGATTGCTTGATGAGACGGCTGTGCTCCCAAATTTGTCATTCGTTATACAGTAGAAGTCTCAATATGATAAGCTCTTGGTGGAAATACAACGGGATCATGTTGTCCAGCTGGTAGAGTCGTGTAGACTTGTACGTCCTGCTTCTAAAATGTCCCTCCCAATGGATAGGTAGTTGCAGCCCTCTTATCTCGGCGGGGCGGAAGGGCGACCAGCAAAAGAAATTGATATGCAAAAAGATGGTCCCAGAGGGGCTCGAACCCTCGACTTTGACGTTATTAGCGTCACGCTCTAACCAACTGAGCTATGGGACCCGGTTGTTGAAGGAGGTCTGCTAAATTAGTTAAATAAATCAATTATCCTTTTAGCAGACCAAAAATCTAACTTCACTCATCGACCACAACCCTCATAATGTACACTTATATACTAGTAGAATCATAATTATCAGATGGTTCCGCTGTTAAGCGCTAACATGATACATATTCTGTTCAAGTAACATAATCACTACGAGTAAATGTGTCGGGATTGGTTTCGAAATTAGTGTGGGTGGTACTATTAGCAGTAAGTATATATTGTCACTGACCATCTTCCCTCACACTGTAGATATGAATTTCAGGCCAACCTGTTAGTACTAAGTGTACTCTGTGGGTTTAGTAAGAAGTCTACCAACTAAGTAGTGTAAGGGGCAGCTTGCAAAATCTCCATACAATCGCCAATGCAATAAACACTCACTCCAATTGACCATATGAAAATATTTCCACCCAGAAGTGCTCAATGTAGCCATGGATCAATTCTGTGGCACAGCGGCAGCGATCCGAGCCTTCCGAGCATCGTCTGCAGCGAGTCTCACCGCCGGCCGATCCTCGATCAGCATTGAACTGTTCTCTCCTCGCATCCAAACAGGATCGTTACTTAGACCGTTGGTTGCTCCACTCCACCGCGATCGGATCAGCGTCCCCCATTCCCCGGTTTCAATGTGAGACATCCCGATGATCGAAATCACAGAAGGTATATAGACTATTGACAGCCACAATATCTCGTCTATTCTTACACCTATTTACATGTGCCACTGCTTTCATACACACAACAATGATACCATACTATATAGTGAGTCGGTAAAACTATGTATATTTCCACGAATCCACCATGATCCGATGTATATAAACAACAGTATCAACAAAGATTGAAACAAAACAGACAAGAAAGTCAAGAGGTATCTACATCCACATCGACATCAACAACCGAAGAGAAAGAAACATCACATCTAGCTATAATCTACCTCAACCGTCAAGCGCACCGCACCCGACGACAAAGTGCCACCAATACCATCCACCGACGCCTCAGAAGCAGTGTACGCATTCACCACCGTCTCGGCGTCAGTAGTGATATACGAGCACTGCTTATCAGAGTACTGGCAAATACGCATACCCTGGACCGTCTGATCGGCTTCCTGAGCCTGGATAGCAGACACATCCCAACCAGACCAGCCGCTGTTATCCGTGTCTCCGAAGTCGAACTCGCCCCAGGTGCAAGAGTAACCGCCATAGTCATCAGTAGGGAGACTGTCGCCCTCCGCGGCACCCCATCCACCCTGGCTGTTCTCGTCGAAGGCAACGTACTTGGTCTCGCCTGCGCCGAGGGTGAAGTTCAACGCGGAGTGTCCGTACCATCCATCCATCTTTCCATCCGGTCCGATCTTGTTCCAGAAGCTGACGAACCAGTCCTTGGTGTTGCTGCCTTCCATGCGGATGACGTACTTGTATTGCCAGGCCTCGCTGGCGCTGACTTCCTGGATGTTGCTGCCCCAGGGGTTGCCCACGTTGCCGCTGTAGGTGACGCCGCTGCTGCTGCTGTTGGTGCGCTCGCCGAATCCGGCGGTCGAGAAGACGCCGTTGGTGGGGGTCGCGGTCCAGGCCTCGCTGGCGGAGCTGCCGGTGCTGCTGGCGGCGGCGGTGGTGCTAGCAGCCGTCTGGGAGGCGGCAGTGTGGGTCTTGGTGTTGGTGTAAGTGCTGGTGTGGGTGGTAGTACTGGTTTGGTCGTCGCCCAAGCCCAGGCCCAGGGAGAGGGAGAGTCCCAGGCTGGCGCTGATGGCGAGGTCCTCGTCCAAGTCGACTTCCACAAAGGCTCCGGCGGTGGCGGCGTCGGTGGTGGTGGTGACTGCTGCCTCAGTAATGGTGCTGCTGGTAGTAGCGGCCTCGGCAGCTTCAGTGGGCTGGCCGTAGACGGTGGTGGTGAGGGTGACGTGCTCGATGTTGACGACGGTGTGCACCTCAACTTCGACGTCACGGGCGGCCACATGAGCCTCCTGGGCGTGGCCGTGACCGTGTTGACGGCGCTGGTGGCCGTGAGTGCGAGCCAGGGCCGATTCGGCGATAGCGGCACACAGAAGGAGTGACTTCCACTGCATGGTGGAGAAATGTTATGGTTCAGACCAGTGAGTCGATCAGTGAAATCTGTATCCGCTGGATAAGGGGGGAAGAGTGGTCGGTCCCCGAAATGAAGGAGTTGGATGGGTATTTAGGGTGTGTCTTTCTAACACCGCTATAACCAGGGTTCAAAAAGGAGTGACTGAATACTGCAAAGCAACAGCAATAGGGAGTGTGCTATGAAGGGTATCAAAACGGGGAGGGGCTGCAATAGAACCGGGGCGACTTGGGTAGGTATATAGACGGACTGCGCCCTAATCGGCCCCCCTTCTAGGCTGACTGTCTTTTCTCTCTCTGGGGAGATGGTGGGTTTGATGGAGGCCTCGATCAAGAGGAAGTGGAGACAGGCAGCGCAAAAGGAATCGTCAGCATTGGGCCAAGGAAGGCGCCGCCATGGTGGAAAAATTGACGAGTGTACTGGACTAGTGCCAGCACCTGTGCGCCTGGACTGGGCCAACTAAAAAAGAGAGAAGCCGAAGGTCAATAGCCCCGTTTAGGGCAGTGAAACGGAGGGCGGCGATGGTCTGAAACGCAAGACAGCCATGGCGAGCGAACGAGGATGCGTCGAATGCGGCGCGATGGACACTCCGTTGGCGGATGGGGCTTTTTGTAGATTCCGCCAGCCAATGTTGTTATTGTTTTTTTTTTACCTATTTTTTCTTATTTTGTTGATGGGGGTGCTCCAGCATCCAGGTACGGCTCTGGCATGCCATCCCATCCTATCCATCCCCTCCGTCCCATTCACCCAATCCTCTGTGTCTGCTCCCCACGTAATCCGGCCCCCTTGCGTCGTCAACCCGTGGTGCAGCAAGTCTGGAAGACTGGACCGTCAGCTGGGAGGGCGCCATGTGGCCTGGTGGGTGGTTGCTCGGACGAATGGTAGCATTCCGGTACCTGTTTGTTGTATTTGGGGAGGTTTAATCCTGAACGCCACGATAGTGGTTCGAAGCTGTGGGTCAGAAGCATATACTGTGTACTACGGAAATATTGCTGGACACCATTTGTTAGATCACAAATGTGAGAAGCACAATGGGAGTGCAGGAGAAAAAAAAAAAAAAGAAATTGCCTCCCAGATTTGATTGATAGAGAGGTAGAGAGACTGTGTGACTGGATGCCGGGATCCGAGCAACATAGACTTTAGTCTAGGCAGAGAAATAAAAACGCCTGGGAGTGGAGAGATGAAGACGCAAGAATTGGCGCCGGGCGGAGTTAAGCATCGACTAGCGTTGGCTTAGCAGCGCAACTCCTTTCTCTCTCTGTCCAGAAGATTGATCGATCCCTCCCCTCCACGTGTATTATCTCTAGTCTTTGATGGTCCGACCGAGAGAGTGCCGATTGAGAGAAGGAACATGTAATCCACCTCAGGCAGCATTTTAACACCAACCATAGAGAGGAAACATGATCGTCAGAATTTATTGACACCATAAAACAGCCATCTCTCCTCAAGAAGAAAAGAAAAACCACAACTTCGCAGCAATAGACGCCACTGGCTGGCGCCTCATCCTCGGAGTGGGGCATCACTTACGTATACCCTCGGCCACCACCACCAGAAAAAGCTAACAACTCAACCACAGAAGAAGACAAAAAAAAAAAAAAAAGTTAATAATAGTCCATCCAGCCCTCTTTGCCCTCGAATCCGTTTACTTTTGGCATCATCCCATCGTAGCTGACGACTTCCCACGGTTCGTTTGATTTACCTTATTTCTTGCCGTGGCTTGGCCCATGGATGACTTCCGTCGTGTGTTGACAGACGGACATCTCCCGCTCAGGAACAGGAAGCCTACGTATGGTTGTTAAATAGTTTGCTTGGCGGTAGTGCTTGCATACGCAATTCAAGACAGATGGACGCTGGTCGTAGGACTGTTTAGAGCTAGTCAAGGGCTAGTCAAGGGCGAGCCTTTTGAGGGAAAGAATTGTGTTGTGTGTATAGGGAGAAGGGAGAGAGGAGAGCATTACTCAGCGGCATTAACAGTACCGGCGCGGAATTTAAAAACAAACTAACCCTGTTTATTGTTTGGTATTTTTACCGAGGAAGAGTCATGCTTAGCCCTTTTTCACTTCTAGATCACGCTCCATTTAATCCATTTACTTCTTCATACTCATAGATACCCTGTATCCACTATTTTGGTCACGTTGATTGTGTGATAATTATGTTACTATCTATTGGCGCTACACACACTAACTGTGTACCGCACATTATAAACACCGTGATATGTGGATGTGGGTGTGGCTCATTTGCCACATACCACGGATCCGACCTGTCCACGGAACCAGAGAGTATCATCCGGATAACTATTTGCCTTCCACCTGGAAGCATAGACGGAGGAGTACGGAAATGGTCTTTAATTTCCCATCTGCAGTTCACTGTTTCTTGATTGGTTCACGGTTCACAACATAATACCAACACACGTTTGCATGTAAGATAGCGGCTCGCTCCGAGATGGGATTTCTAGGCTATCTACCGATTCGGTACATCGAGTGGACATGTCATATCATCTGCCGAGTCGATTCCTCTCACTGTAGGAAGTCTGCTTTCAATCTTTTGGGGGCTATGCCGTATTGTGTTAATGGCAAGTTATACAGAGTTCTTCTGTTGAGTGTTGAATGTTGCTATCGGAGGGATTTGGTGCTAGCATACGGAGTTGAACAGTGGCAAAGCCTGGCGTTGGTTGTTTGGACGGCGATTCCTCCCTGGGCTTCGGTAGAGGTTTCAGGAATGGGCGACGGTGTGGTGGGTGTAGTTGGGAACGGAATGCTGATTGGCTAATTGTTCTTCGATGTTTGCTGGCATGCAGGTACCAACAATCTGCAAAAAGAGCTACAACTTTCAAGCCCCAAAAGTACGGCACATGCATAAGGTTCATGGACTCATCATCCGGACATCTACACCCGGTGGTCACTTCTTACTCCTCCCTGCAACTCCCCGCCCATGACAGCTCAACTCTCCCACAACCACAGGTCCGTCTGCAATCCCTCGCGCTCTGCATCCAACACCAAATTATTCGTATTCAATTGGTCCGCCGCCGTCAGCATGCAGTCCAGCGACAGTCCCAATCCCCGCCAATCAAGGGGTATCTCGTCGTCCTGCTCCGATAACTCATGTGGGGGCGGAATCCCCGATCCCCCTATTTCCCCAAGCAGCCCTGACCCCGAGGGCTGAACTGACTCGGTGAGTCGCTCCCGACCTTGGCTGGTAGGCGTGGCCAGGTGCTGCCGCGCGGTGTTATCATTTCCAATATCGGTGGATCGACTCTGCCGTCCCATCAACGGTGCGATCAGCTCTTCCAGCAGCTCAACATCGGACTTACGAAGCTGTGCCACGCGGTTTCCTCGCTCGATCATCGCGTCAAGGAGGCTGTAGCCCATATCGCGGTAGCTCGAGTCGGGAAGTGTGTCGGGGAGGATGGCGGAGATTACGGAAAGAATAAAGAAGGAGGAAAAGAGGTTTTCTAGGTCGAAGGGGAGAAAAGTTTCTAGACATCTATGTCTCAGTATAGAATGTGACGTTACTTGGAGGGGTCCGAACCTAGCAGATTTTGGTCGCGCAATGCGGTAAGTATCCGCAATGATTTTGTCGCGGAGTCGATGCACGCCTGAAGCAATGCTTGCACGGGCGGAGATAGAGTGCGGAACTCGGTACCTGCCTCGTAGCAACCGAGGCGCTCCCATAGCAGGCTCAGGACAAGGGGTCTCGTTGTGACAATGATGCACTATGGCTATTAGTCGCGATACACACTATGATAAGGGTGGCGCTTGCCAGATGACAGGATAGGGTCAGGCGTGTGGTAACCCCAGATAGTGAGTCGACTGAGTTTGCAAAGCGATGCGAAAAAACCTCATCCAGCTCTTGCGAAAGGGCGGTCATTTCTTGCAAGACCGATCGCACCTTGCGAAGAAAGACCCCTCCTAATGTGCCATCGGCACTGTAGACAGCTACTGGATGTCAGCACTGTGATTACTAGGCGCTAAGTGACTTACTGTTCAACACGCGCGTTATAACTTGTGTGATCTTGACATGGAGGCTCAGGGTAGCCTCGTTGCGAGAAGATGTGCGCGGGTCCCATAGAAGCGTGGTGATTTCGTCGTCCCGCACGGAGTTTGGGGATCCTATCAGTGCCGCAAATTTGCGGTCCAGGATATATACTGTCCACCATATGTTGCTGCAGCGTTCCACTAATTTCCGTCCTAATTGATTGACAGGAAGTGCCCGGTGAAACCCTTCAACCAATGCCATGCGCATTGAATGGCCAATCTACACGATCAGTCAAGCCAACGAGACGCTGTGCGAATACTCACATAGCAATAGGCAGTATCCCTCATATCCACCGAGTGAAAGTACAGCCCAATGAGAGCCAGTACTTCGATTGCAAGGGTCGGGTCCTGCCATAACCCAGTGATGTCCGGCAGCAACGACATTGCCCTCGAGAAATACTTGGTCCAGCTCGCCGTGTTCGCGTGATTTCGTACTGGGTCCAGGAAGGCCTCTCCGAAGGCTAGGATGATGAGAAACTGCACATACCACAGACGGCATTCTTGGACCTTGGCTGCCGCATCGTCGTAAAACTCATACATATGCCGATAGAATTCATCCTCATCATATAACCGATACAAGTGGGTGAAATGAAATTGCACGGTGCTCACCATGTACAATGCATGCTCCAGCGAGGGCAGACCGCTAATGTCAGGGGCCTCCTCCGAACTGGCGTGACGCCACTGTATTTGATATGCATCGCCATCGACCGCGAGAGGAATCGCCCGTGGGCTCTCTGGCGAGATATGTGCCTGTACAATGGTAAGGATGCGGCGGCTGAACGACCAGGTCGAAGTCGGCCCAAGAAACACTGCGCAGCGGTCAGCAATTTCCCTACTAGAGAAACCAGAAAACCTACGCCATATTCGCTGTCGACCTCCGGTATGTTTGAGGTAGCCCGGGTTGATGAAAGGGTTGGAGGTGAAATGGTCATCCATTCGATGGGACTCAGTTGGATCGAGTGATGCCTCTCGGGGCAACTCCAATGCTCGCTCTGCACTGATTAGATAAGGATATGCAGCGCATGAAACGATCTCTCCCTCACCATAACTGGATTCATTTGTACTGTCAGTCGTCAAGGCTCGCCGGCGTTTGACCACTGGGGAAGAGTCACCGCTTCCTTCCAAGGCCTCCACTTTTCGCTTGAGGGACAGAAATAGCCTAGACATATTAGAACCTTTCCTTGAGTCACAGCGATCATGATTCTCACTCTTCAGACACTACAATCTTGCGATCATCCTCGAAGACACAATCTTCACGACGCTGACAGCACTTGTCGCAGGGATGGGTGCCAGAACATTTGACCTTGCGTGAGCGACAGCGTTGACAGCTGGTGGGGTTAGTGGGCATGAACTACTAGTAGTCTCAAGATCCGGGGAAAGAGATGGCCTTACGCATTACTGGTCCGCTTGGGACGCTGGGAATGGTCCATTGTCTCTGACTGGAAAATCCCACCGACGTCAATCTTCCTCTCTAAAATATTAGCCTATGATCATGGAGTTGCTGCAACCTTTTCGCTGGACTTGACGATGGAGAGAATGAAGCACCCGGGGATCCATGCTGGGACAAGTCAATTTCCCACCAAACGGTGGCTGAGTAAGCGACCCCGCCCGTTATCGGCAGATACATAATATTATCCATCTTGTCACGATAGGGCCGAGAGATCGTCAAAGGATATTCCTTCAATATCTGTTAATAATATTGTGGAAACGGTATATCTCTCTGGCTTCGGTATTCTCCACATGAAGTAACACCCCAAATTACGTCCAATGCAGGAACTAAACAAGCTTGCTTGACGGGAAACAAAGTCGTGTGAGATAAAACCATGCCCCAAAGAACTCTTTCACTAAGCTTTGTGTTTTGCTTTAAATTGAGGTTGCGCAGACCTACCACCAAATTTGGCTGAGAGCATGAACCCATCTTTCTGAAATTTTGGGCCAGATGGTAGCAAAGCCTCTCGGTGCGGTCCTTTCACGACTTTAGCCTTTACGCGAGGCAGTTAAACGTGGCTAAACATCATAGTCTGTATCTGGAGTAGATTCGTCTAGAACGACTCAATTGAATGCAACTTTTTGGATTCAACAGATGAATAGACACAGATTAATAGCCGCTTACCGCCCAAAATTTTCCAGATCACTTGGGGCGCGGACTTTCAGGCATGCGATTCCATCTGAATGGTAAAATAGTCGCCCGGAATGATGACGATACCCAATCAATGGCATTGATTGATCGATATACTAACCATATATTCTATTTGCAAATTGTGCCTCAGGTTGATAACGCTTATGACTTATTGGGCAGACGGGTGCGCATCCCGGAACTGTTACCGTGGGAGAACCGGAAGATATTCACCTTTCTCAAACGACTCTCTCTAACAGCCTTAGCAGCAAGCTCCCTTGGTTACGACAGGGATTTTACCATGTCAACAACTGAGATTCGTTCTAAACGATTATGCCAGTGACTCACTTTGGATCAACCTGCATTCTGTAAGCACACTAAGGGCCAACCCTTGCAGTCCACATCAGCGCAGCCCAAAAGCACACAATAATCCAGGCGCGCCCACAGCATCGGACCATCCGTCGGACTCCAGGTAAAGAGTGGAGCAGGAGTTGCTTACTTCTTTCTAAGCCTTGTTAAGCTTTCCTTGGTCTTTAATTGACCTTTTTAAGCATCCACCTCTACCCAAAGAAGAAATGAAGGGCACAGTAGCACTATAAATAGTCAAGAAGGTCTATGAATCCCTGCATCTCTCAACCAATGAGTCGAGCAGACATATAGTGCTCCCTGAAACAAGTACTGAATAGTATAGCAACTATCTCTGATGTAATTTCTTGTATTCTTGTCTGATTTTCAGGTCTTTGTTTCCAGGGTTTGGAAACAAACCAGGACACTTCTGGTCAATCACAACAATGGAATAGAGGAAGCCTGGCTCTACAAATAAGTACTTCCTGGCGCTTGGTGAGTGCGATGTGAAGGCTCATACTGCACTTGGTGTATTATCCAGGTCTCTCACCATATAAACTTATTATAATAAACAGGTCCTTCTGTGTACGTATTTCATAAGTGTTCTGCATAGGGCGTACACATGGGTTCAGACTCCGGCATATGATTACATACAAGCTTGTTTTCCCTCAGATTATAGCATCCCTTGTCAATGTACACGACAGGGGTATGACAGTATTTCACATACAATATTTCCTTGTAAACTTCCACTTTAATGCCTTTTCCCTAGTGGTCAAGCCTCAGACCCTAGTCGATTGTGAGTCAAATGCAGTCTTAAAGGTCCTCAAGCATCAGGGAGTATATCATGCCCTTCATGAATTATTTTTTGTCTTTTATCTATTTATCCAAATGTCACCATCATTTGCCCTTTGTACCCCACCCTCGGTCGTTCTTCCACCATGGCTTATACACAGAGCACCAGCAGAGGAGATAGGGGTCACGATCAGGACTCAATAGAGCTTGCGACGGTGATGGAACCTTCCCCAGATACTGCGGTTTGTAAGACCGAAGACAGCACCGATGATATGGACCCAGAGCCATCCACTGCTCGCTTAGTATTGGTTCTGTTAGGTCTCTGGGTAAGCAGTTTCTGTACACGCCATGATGAACAAAAGATCTACCCACTGATTCTGAACCTCGTGTCCTCAGGTTGGGGTCTTGCTCAGTGCATTAGGTATGTGCAACATCCTCTTTATCACGCTACTTCCTGGCGAAAAAGTAGCCTTCTGACAAATGATAGACTCAACCATGCTTGCCACAATTATCGAGGATATATGTGAGGAGTACGATGCTTTTTCATCGTATTCCTGGGTCGCTACCACATACCCCATAGGTCTCTCCATCTCGCAGCCATTCAGCGGACAACTGACCAACCTGCTGGGCCGACGATATGGCCTTGTACTTTGTCTCTCAGTCTTAGCCGTAGGACAGCTTCTGTGCGGGCTGGCGCCCCGTTTGTCGGTCTTCTTGCTAGGTCGGATTGTTCAAGGGCTTGGTGCAGGCTGCATCGGCACCATCACTGCTTTTGTCGAAACCGATCTAGTGTCCATGAGAAAACGGGCGCTGATTGAAGGCATTGGCAATATTACCTATGGTGCTACATTGGCCCTGGGTGGCGTCTACGGGGGTGGCGTCGCCAACGCCATTGGGTGGAAGTGGGCATTCCGTATCCAAGTGCCCTTCATCATTCTTGACATCGCGATGGTGGCGTTCTATCTCAACATCCCTCAGGGTAAAAGCCGTCCTATCAGACGCCCAGTTGACTACGTCGGCATGGTCGCTCTTCTTGTCGTTATTATCCTCTTTCAATTCGGCATGAATGCTGGTGGTTCGGTCTTTGCCTGGAACAGCGCAGCAGTGCTGACTACCTTGATCCTTGCCGCGGTAGGATTCCTAGCATTTCTCTTCTGGGAATTTTATAAAGCCGAGAACCCTCATATCCCAGTTCGAGCCCTACTACAACGCACTGTGGCCGCGTCGCAACTGAGCTCATTCTTTTCCAACTTCGGCAACACTAGCATCATGTACTACGTGCCCGTGTACTTGGAGGTTCTTGGCCACTCCCCAGGCGAGAGTGGCTTACGATTTATTCCCCTGGCTCTCTGCTTTGCTCTTGGATCTTTCGCTGCTGGGTTATTCGTCAAGGTCACGGCCAAGTACTACTACATCAATATTCCCGTCCAAGCCTGCTCCGTCCTGGGCGCTGTCATGCTCTGTACCATGACCCAGACGACACCTTCTTGGGCCCCTTTCGTCTATCTCGGAATATACGGTGCAGGGTCCGGCGGGGCGTACGTGACCAGACTCATGGGTCTCCTCACTTCGGCCGATAAGCAACACCTCGCCGTGGTACAATCCTGTTCCTTCACTGTCCGCAACACTGGCACCACCATCGGCCAGACCATATCGGCTGCTATATTTCGAAATTTGTCAGTCAATACCCTCCATATCCTGTTTGGAGGCCAGCCTGATCTGGCTGATCGGATCTCGCACAACTACAATCGGCTCGACCTGCTGAGTGGTTTGGAGAAGCAGACCGCAATCTTCATCTATCTCCGTGCCACGCGTGGTGTTTTTTTCCTTGCCACGTCGATTCTGGTTGCCGCTGCGGTGTCGACCTTTGTTATGCAAAATAATGAGCTGGTTGATAGTCCGAGGGAGAGACAGTGTGCTGAGGAGAAGGGGGAGTTGAAGGAATTGAAGGTGAAAGATGAAGAAGAAGCGCCGAACTAATTTGTTAAAAGCAGGTGGCTCCTGCTGGACTCATTGCTTGTTTTCATCTTTCCCGAGTACGAAGCTCATCGATAGGCCCACTTGGTTTTGTTGTGGCTATCCCCTGGCTTTCTCATCATGAAGCGCTTACTGTAAAGGCACCTCAGTGTAAATATATATCAGTACAGTACTACCTGTGAATGAATTCGCCATGTCATTTGTTGCAAAGCAGGCTGCACATAAGCGAGAAGATAATTATAATAAGGTAAATTACGGGGAAAATAATATATGCTATGCTCAGAGTGTGAAAATTCCATCACTGATTAAATCCAAGCCAGCATCAGGTGGAAGGTGGATGGCCAATTAGGTATTTCAAAGGGCAACCTTAATATAACACAAGATGGTCTATAATCTTCATCCAAGGCAAGATGGCCGAGTTGGTCCAAGGCGTCAGGTTAAGGTCCACCTTAATACCCAGCTTCATAGCTTCCTGATCATCGTAAGATGGCGTGGGTTCGAATCCCACTCTTGTCATTCCTTTTTGCGGCGTTAGAAGAAGGATAATCCAAATCCAAGAAGAAACTTCATTTTATGTTTATGGTATCTTTTGTTTTCTTCTTGTTGCTCTTTTGATCATTCACTACTCTCATGTTTGGAACTATGCTCATATTAATTTTCCCATTTTCATCCTATTTCTTTGTGTTTTCCAACCCATAAAATATGACCAAACCCCGATATCCTCTCGAGATAAGAAACATGTAAAAGGCTTACTACACACAACCTTGCCGGGCATGCCTCTACTCCTGGTCTATACACATTCCGAAAGCTGGCCCCCAATAACATAGGTTTAACATCAGCACGCATCGGCAACGACCTACACGTCTAATTCCAACACAAGTACTTCATGACGGCAATTATCTCATCAAATCATCATACACCACCACCACACTCCAGAACAGCAGAAGAAATTTATACCTTGTATTAATCATAAAACGTATCTACCACCTACTACCAGTCGGTCCTATCCCCGAACAAACTCGAATTAGCCCCATCAACATCCCATAACATCATCACCAAACCCCCCTCTAATCTACTTAACAAACAACACACCCCGAAGATAGTCATTTCTCCGCCTTAGGCGGGTACTCCTTTCCATCGCGCACCACCTTGGGCGCACAAGTGCAGCGCTCACTCTCCGGAACCGAGTCCAGAACGGAGGGGATATGCGCGCCGCAGCCCCACCAGGTGGCTTTGTCTGAATGCATTTATTAGTATTATGACTTGGTGGCAATATGCGGTGGAAGGGACGTGCAACATACTGCAGTTCGAGCAGTTCACTTTCATGCACATATTGAAAGAAGGTCTTGGTCTTGTTTTTGAATATGAGGGGTTGCGGGGGTAAATGGAAGTTGATGGAAGGAGATAAACTCAAGATAGAGGCGGATTTATAGCTCCTCAGTCCCTTGCTTAGTCATGATGAATCGCCGACCGGAGTGATCCCCGAGAAACCCGACCGGTCTCTTGCGGGGAAGTTGAGGTGCGTGAGGGCTCAATGATGCCAGTTTGGTGTTGGGGATGGAGTGTACGTGAATATAGCATCTGGAAGGTATGTATATAGGGCTAAGTGGAGGTAGTGTGATGGTGGAGGGACCTTGGGGAATTGGTGTCATAGTTACTACATATGGAGTGGACTCCCGCTTTGTGCTTCGCTTTAAACATGATGAGCGTATTTTCAGTATTCTACTGGGTACTCGTTATAAACGAGAGGATCAAAGAGGCACTGTCATAGATCGTCATCTCTCATGAATTGGTCGTCCATCTACAACTTTCCCATTCTCTCTGCTGGAGCACAGCACGTGGCTGCTGGCTCAGGGTGCAACGTCGACTTGTTGAAAGACTGCGTCGAAGGCGGCACGTCCAATGCAGGATTCTTGGTGAAAAATCCATCGGGCTTCAGCATGACACTGACGCGCTCGACGGGCATGACGGGGAAGTCTTCAATGCGGGGGTTATGCGTCAGGCCGAAGGCTGTCGTGTGTTAGTTCTAGCCCTGCTGTCGACCGGCAATACACAATAGTATAAGGATCACTTACTATGCCACAACACAATATCCTCGTTCTCAACAGGATCTTTCCGCTGCACCCACTTCTCAACGCCCTCGCTCTCCCGACTCTGGTTGGTGAATTCGCCCGCCGCATACAGCTCGTCGTCCCGGTACTTCGTAATCCAGATGGGCTTGGTTGCGAAGCCGGCACGCTTGGCGCCATACGACTTCGGGCTTGAGAGAAGCATCTGACTGGGCGAGGTCTGAAGCTTGTATGCTATGGGCTTGTAGGTGATGGGGTTAATGTGGGAGTCATTGCGGATTTTGAACACACGGTGACGGCTGATATCGGTGTTTGCTGTGCCGCTGGTACGGAGCACTGTCTGCTCGGTCGTGTATCCCACCATGTAGGGGTTGTTTTCATCCTCCGGCAGTGGCACGCTATCTTCGTAGTAGACGGTATTGTTGAATCCGTCCAAGGCCGGGTCCATCCGAAAAGAGAACATGTGCTGGTGGAAAGGTGCCATGACACCAGGGCCGACGTTGGTGCCCCAGGGAACAGTGGTACCAGGATTCTCGTTGTCGAAGGGCACGGTGGAGAGAATGCCGGTGGCTCTGACTTCAAGCTCAATGTTAGCGGCTTGGTCGAAGATAAAGGCGAAGATGTATTCGTAATTTGCAACAGTGCAGATCATCTGTACTACTAGTTGGCGGTTGCGGACGACCGTGGCAGCGTTATTGCGGTAGTTGGTATGTTTGTGCTGCAGACCGTTGTCTTGCTCGTGAAGGCAGATGACATTCTTCAGCAAAACGGGGTTACCCTTTGAATCAGTCCGGTAGCCATCAAAGTACTTGATGTGGCCTAGACAGTCGCAGCCTAGGGAGAGTTGGTTGGCTGTGACACCGAAGCCTACGTCTCCCACATCGAATGCCTGCTTGCGGTGATAGGGTGCACGAGGATCTATAGCGCAATATCAGTGTAAGACTGGTTGCTGGGGGCAGCTAAAGATGAACTAGCATAGCTCTAGACTTACCACCGTACGGCACAGTCATCTCCGACATGGACAATCTGTAGAAGACATTCCGCTTATCATATGTGAGATTGTAGATGACGAGACCCTCGCGGCTATTGAAACCAACACGAAATCTCCACTTCTGCCACGAGACCACATTTCCGTCGACATTGAATGATGGGCCCTGGGGTTGTTGGACAATATAAGGCTTGAGGTCAGTGCGCAAGGGTTCCTGCAGCAGGTCATGCGCGTATTGGATGGTCTCAACCGGCTTCCAGGGCTGAGTTTCTGTGGTCTGCATATCAACTCCACCTGGCAGGTAGTCCATACGGACCAGCTCGCGCTTGTGAACGTCGAAGACAGGGGAGAACTTGCAAGGTACCGAGTAGTGGTTGTTCTCGGGATGGTCTGTGGCAACAATGTACATGTAGCACTGGAACAAGCGACGCGTCTCATTGGGATCATCAGTGCCATAGATCCAGGGGTCATTGCAGACGGTGACACCTGGAGGCAGCTTCAATTTGGCCACCTCGGCCTGCACGGCGGGGTGAGAGAGACAGAGTTGCTCAACCTCTCCTAGTTCGTCCGGATCACCAGGTCCCTGTCGGGGTCAGAGACATTGTGAGGTAACGTAGATGAACGGCATATGTCATACCTGAACATGCTTAGGCAGTTCCTTGGCTGATATTATTGATCGGGTGTCGGAATTCAACAATGCTTTGCAAAAGGCCATGGTGTCCATGCGGTGAAAAAGAACCAGCAGCAACCGAGTGGGCTTTGCGGGCAGGGGCTTGCCCAGCCGTTCTGCTTCAATGAACGGAACCACTTCACTCTTGATGGGTTCCTGGATATCAATCTTCTTGTACCGTAGAGGGACACCTGGGAAGGCCACCGCCAGAATCTTGGTGGCCAGGACGATTTCCGCCGGCGTGATAGAGTCGAAAGGGTGTGGTGAAACTGCCATGGTGTCTATATCTGCGGTTCTGCCAAATATTCGAGACACTGCTGAAGTTGAAGGGAGGAACGAGTGACAGCAGAAGCTAGCTGCTATATAACTTTTTCCTCCCCGCCCAGATTGCCCTGATTACCCCGATTGGAGACACAGGCGCGGCGGAGTTGCCATATCTTCCCTTTTGGGAATGTATTGGCCTCCGCTTCATCAAAGGGGCTCCTGATTGGCCCGCACGACCGACCCGGCGTATCTTTTACTGTGTAGGGTCTAGCTTGAACGCCTTATTGAGGCCTTGCTTATCTCAGCTCTTTACCAATCAGAATCTGAATAGACTTGGCGGTGAAGAGAATAAAGTTTCTTATGTAATTGATTTTAATGCAGGGACTCAATAACTACATTTTGTGTCGTTGAATAAGTCATGATCAGTCTCACATTCTCACTTTCCTAAGACACCATGAAAGCCGTGACCCCAAGCACCAAGCATGCCGTGACTCCGGTCACTACCCCTGCCCCAATTCGATCCGACGTGGTGATCGGGCGCAATTCACTGGGATCTCGGGAGGAGTCTGACGTTTGTGTCCCTGCGGCGCTGTTCCCCTGGCTGGATCCTCCCGTGGTATGAGTGAGCGGACCAGGATTGGCCTGCAGGAGATTGGCCTGGACTACCTCTAAGGCGGCCATTTGCTGTCCCACGCCCACTGTGCCATCATAGGTTCCCGTAGTCCATTGCATCCCACAGTATGTCCCCGTCTTACCTCCCACACACTGGGCTGCTGCTGCCTTGGCTGTTGGTTGCAGGCGTGCCATAATGGTATCATAGGTGAAAGGAGCCAGTCGGGCAGTGTCAGCCATCCACCGCACCAGATAGGCCTTGAACGAGAATTGGTCTGTTTGGCAGGTCCCCACGGTTTCGCATGCGGCCTCGTAAAGTACGTTCTTGGAGCTCTCGTTCGTGGAGAGGAAGCTGTTTTGCGCCTGGAGAAGGCCGTTGACTCGTTCGCGCCACTTCTCGTCACCGTTGGTCTGCAGTTTTCGTCAGTTGTAAGCCCCGTGCAGCAAACGGGCCTCAAACTCACGTAGTTCCACATGTGTGCTGCCCCTAGCAGGAACACCCCGTTGTTATACGTCCACTCAATATGATTCAGATCGGTGCAGTTGTTCTCCTCGCTCGTCCCGTCGAACACATGATACTCGGGCCCAACCAGTCCTACGTCCGTCACCCAATCCCAGACCTTATTCGCCCAGTCCGCGTACGTAGCGTTGCCTGTATACCGTGCGAGTCGAGCCGCCATGTTGAAGAAACACCCGTTCGAGATGGAATTCCGGTACGTGTAACCGCTGTTGAACGTGTAGATCTGCCACTTTAACCCTCCTCCGCACTTCTGCGTATTCCATCGCTGCGCTTGTTCATTGAAAACGGCCTGCGCGAGAGCCAACCACGACGGTTGATCGGCTGGCGGATTGGGGAAGTTTCGCTCGGCGGCGCGCAGGGCAGCGAACGCCCAGAACGCCTGATCATCGTTTCCCTCCGTGCGCGTCTGGTTGGCGGGCATGAAGTCTCGGTTGGGACCGACCTGGTGGAGGATGGCTTGCGCGGTCAGTTCGTTATATGTGGTGTCTCCGGTGTAGGCCCAGTAATTGACCAGGGTGCCAAAGAAGGCCCCCGCCTCCCACCAGTAGTATGGATCTGGAAGGTTTCCGGGAACATCGCCGGTGTTGTTGCCCGTATAGAAGCTGACTAGGTCCCAGGCGAGGTCGCTTGCGACGCTCTTGATGCTGTCTAGTTGACACCAAACAAATTCATTAGCCTCCAACAAAGGTTCAACATCTGGTCAAGATCCTTGAAACTCACCAGCATTCTGGAGATCGAGGTCGATCGCCAGGACCTGGAAGCAAGGGAGAGACCAAACAACACAGATGAGAAGTGACCGCCAAAGGCGAAGTTGTGGAATGTGCATCATCACACGGTACCCATCAAGCTGTTTGCAAAACGCGTAAAAAGACAAAAAATTAGGACTGAAGATTCAGGAAGAGAAAAAGAAGAGACGAAAGTAGAGAGGAGGCGTATTCCAGTGAATTCGAAACATTATGCTAAGGCTGGCTGTGGAATAACACGAAACGGCATATGCAAGGGCTTTCTGCGGGCCGTAGCAAGGATCTCATTATTGCCAGTGAATGGATGCCACTTTTGGAAACTCGAAGGTAGAAAGTACCAGTGCGTGGCCAGGCTCTACTATCAATGTATCATAATTCGCGTTCCAATGCTATGGCAGATTTGTAGATGGGTCTAAAATATTTCCGGTCCATAGGCAGCGGTTGGCGTGAATATCCTCCAGGCGGTTCTGATGTCTGTCATCCGTGAAAAGAACAGCACTCGGCGAGCTATTTTTGACCA